GCTTGTTCTTTAGGGAAAAGTCAACTATAGCTAGGGAAATTCATAGCTCACCCTAACGCTGATAGTGGGCACAATTCATAGTCCCATACTTGGGAGAACAACTAGCATTTGCTCATATCCTGGACCACTTCCCCTTCTCATTCATTGTCATTTCTTTCAAAACTTTCTTGTGTAAGATGAGTTTGGAATGTTATCTCTTTCCCCAGATACTGGAGATAACCTCATCTTATTGCAGCCACAAATGGCCTTACATTTAAATGAAAGGTAAGAGGAAGAGGAAGGATTAAACTTCATGTGAGTCTTTTTTTCCTTTAGAATTTTGGACTGAACTTAACTGTAAACCTAACCCTATCTCCACTAGCGCTTACACCGCAAACTAACTGAATGTATGGATAAAATAAAACAAGTAAAAATGTACATACATTCTCATGCTTTAAAGTGTGGAAATTATCATGCACCAGAAACAAAAAAGGAACTTGAAGCCACTAAAAGTTCGAGCTGAGCAGATGAATATACAGAGCCTATTCATTGAGGGATGGGCTTTGAATGCCCTGACACTTATGTGATGATTCAGAGCTAAGAAAAAGTCTAGAGCTAGACTTCTTGGGTGTAAACATCCTCTATAAATACATTACACAAAATCTATAAAATAGAGATTAAAATACTTCTCAAAGAGATTCTGTGAGTGGAATTGTTATATACAATGTACATGGAACTATATCTGGAACAATTTTGGTATTATATAAAAAATCTATTTATTATTAACAGTGAAATGCCCATAAAAATGGATTAGCAAAAATTAATCACAGGCTTTAGCAATAATATGGGGGAACTGAAGTTCCCACACTACTGGTAGATACATTACTGCATCCATGTTGGAAAGCAGCTTTGTAGAGTGTAACAAAGTTAAATGCGTAGCCTACAGTTATTCACTTTCAGATCTATAATCTAGAGCAACGCTCACACATGGACACCAAAGGCTTTTGGAAGGACGTTAGTAACAGTAAAAGCTTGTAAACCGCCTAGAGGTCTATCCATAGGGAAAGATAAAGGTGGTAGAGCCATGTAACAGAATACTGCATTGTAGTTAAACGGAATGAACTGTGTGTGTGTGTGTGTGTGTGTGTGTGTTCCCACACCTTTCCCTGTCAAGTCCACCAATACATGTAACAACATTACTAAGTGAACTGAAGAATACCAACTTTGTACATTTAAAAAATTAATTTCTTGAATCTTGTTTGTGGAAAATGCTTATATACTGAAAATATAAAAATGAAGAGAAGAGGGATACATACCTCAGATTGTTGTGCATTTTCTGAGAAAGGCAGCAGAACAATGGGGATAGAGAGAATTTCCAACTGCATTTGTAGGATTACTATATTTCATTTTTAGTTTTACTTATTTATTTACAGTACTGGGGATCGAACCCAGGTCTTGCACTGAGCAACATTCGCAATCCTTTTTAATTTTTTTCTATTTTGACATAAGGTCTTGCTAAATCACTAAATTGCCCAGGTTGGGTTTGAATTTGTGATCATCCTGCCTCAGCCACCTGAAGTTCTGGGATGCCTGTGGCACCATACCCAGATTATTTATTTCTTTAAAAAAAAATCTGAAGTTCATTTAGCATAATGCTAACTTTCGCTTATATTGGAAATTAACATGAATTCATGTATAATATAATGCATGTATAGTAATATTAATCTCTGAAAGTCTGAAATATTTTGCAATTTTTTCAAGACTTTTTCAAAACTCAATTAACAAACATAGATGTGGTAGAGAAGAACTGTATTTTTCCAACTTTTGCTGAAACAAATAAGCATGACAGAAATTATTGATGCTGATCATATGAGGTTAACATTTTGAGAAACACTATTGTCAATATATTATCTGGTTGAGTCTTTTCTAGTCCTGATGCAGGTGGTGGGGAGAAGAGAGTCAATATTGGAGAAGTGAATTTCAAAAAAGTTATACCTGGTTCTGATATGGGTTCTGTTTCACTGACTATCAGAAATCAGTTTAAACAGAATATTTAATCCCAAAACTGGTTCGTTAAATGTGCAACGGAGAAAGTACGGAAGCTCACACAAGGAAAAATGTTGAGGACAAAGCCAGGACCAGCGTAAATAAGGGCCAGTGTACTAGGTAAAAGGAGAGAGTGTGACAATGAGAGAGTAGGGACATGGAACATGGTTTTCACATGAAGTTCTTGTGTATAAAAATTACAGACAGCTCCTCTGGTCTCCGTGCAAGTGAGAAGCCAGAGCCCAGCAGCTTGTGCCCCTCATCGTGAGCAGCCCTCAATCTATAAAATCCTCACAATTCTAATAAGGTAGATTTTTTTTATATTCCTATCCAATTTTCCACTTGCTTTTCTTCTAACATTTTTTCTTATTAAAATGGGGTATGGAGTTTGACAAATTGATTGGAAACTGAAATTTGAGGATGTCCTATAAGACTTCATCATACTTCTTAAATTTTTAAGGTAAGAAAAAGAAGTATAATTTCATTTTCTTTTATTGAAACCATTTAGTATTTTTTTCAGTTGGGGAAAACACGCAGAGATTAATTTTCCCAGAGAGAGTTCTGTGCAATCTGACCTGTTCAAAATCATACTAAGTATCAATGTGGATATTATGTGAAATCAAGCATTGTTATATTTTAAAGGAGAGAGTTGGCTATGGTCTTGAACATTTTATAATTTCTTTAGGTAACATTAATGAAGAAAATGAGAAAAGTTCACACTTCTGAGTCCATTCACACCCCATCCCTACAGGTGTTTTTGACAAGTGGTCTACTCTACTTGTTGAGGATGTGAATGTGTTTTTAAAAATCTGCAATGGTTGGAGAACCAAGTAGGCCAGTGAAACTCTTCCTCTACCCAGTAAGAATGGAAAGAACCCTTCAAGTGCCACTCCAGGCTTTCTCTTTGTTAAATGATTTAACTTGAAAACCATGGGTTTAAATGTTTCTTCAGCTATAAAGGGTCAATTACCTTGAGCTCCATTTTCACTTAATAGTGATTATTAAATTGAAACCTGACTCTTGACCCTCATGTCCATACTCCCAATGGTTGGCCTTTCTGCATTCCCTGAAGCTCTATAGAGGATGAAAATAATCATCTTCTCCATATGCTCCAAGCACATACAGGATAATGGAGTTTGTTAATGACTTCTAAGTTATAATCAGTTAGTACATATACAAAAACTTAAAAATAGTGCTATTATATGATCTATCATTCCTACTACTCATTATGTACCCAAAGGAAATAAAATCAGTTGTTAAAGAGATATCTGTACTGTAACATTTATTGTAGCACTTCATTCACAGTAGCCAAGAAATGGAAACAAGCTAAATGTCAATCAAGTGGTCAATGATAAATTTCTCAGCTTACTTGAAAGAAGTGAGCTAGAGAAATGGAAGCCCTCTAACTCCATAACTTTCTATCCTTGGCTAAGGGCAGAACAGGAAAAGAAAACTTCCATATCATGTTTTTGATATGCGATGTGGAGCCATGGGAGGATTTTGCACAGGAGAGTGATAAACGTTCTGATTTATGGGTATTACAACCAGATAGTATTTTTTCCAGTACCAGGAATCAAACTCAGGACCTTGCTCTTGCCAGGTAGGCATGGAGCCACTTGAGCTACATCCCTGGCCTAACCAGATAGCATTTTGCAGGTTACAGAACATCAATGTATGTATTATTGTAAATTATTTCTAGATATAAATGTTGGCTTGCTCAAGAAATATCCTGAAAGCTGGGCTCCAGAAAAGCAGCTCACTTATTTTAAAGTGCCACATGAACTAGTATGGCCCAGTTCTTAAGGTAGTTGTAGTGGACCACAACCTCACAGGCTAGGGCCCAAGATTGTGAGTAGATGTAAGACTTCGGCTTCTCCAGCTATGAACACTGACCAGGCAAATCTGTAGTTGGCTCACTGTATTACACAGCTACAACCATAAGACTAGCATCATACCTTTCTGATTATGCCAGGAGAAGGGCTGATGTTACCCCAAATAAAAAAGTTAAGCTGGAGTCAAGTTCTACCATGCCATTTTGGCATTTTGTTCTTGTCCCCAACCAAGCTAGAACACGAACTGTTCTTCCCTAATCGTTCAATTTAAAATCTTACCAAAGGAAAGATTATAGTGACTCCCCAGAACATGACCTCCAGCCCTGATGGTAGCTGTGCTCCACCTTTGAATAAATGAGTAATGGGAAACCATGGGCCTGTTACCAAACCCTGTGTCAATGCATTATACTCAAGTACTGCTCCAGTAGTGGGTTATGGCATTTATCCATTTGCCTTTGTTTGTATGACTATTTAATAAAAACAACTACATTAATGTGCAGAGGCTAATAAAATGGATATATTTGTATCTGTTGCTTAAATGAAGATTTAATCCTTGCCAATATTACCAAAGTCTCCTAGAATCCCACTCCAGGTATGTCTTCTCCCTTTATCTCAGGGTTAATTAGTATTTTCATTGTGTTTACTAGTTACTTGAAGTCATATTGCTTAGAGCTGAGTTTTTTGTTTGTTTGTTTGTTTGTTTGTTTTGGTACCAGGGATTGAACTCCAGACCTTGCGCTTAGGAGGCAGGCAGTGGAACCACTGAGCTAAATCCCAGGCCCTAGAGCTGAGTTTTAATTTTATATACCTAGTAACATACAGTCAATATACTTTTACAATTTTTTTCACCTGCAATTTATTTTTGAGATTCATCTACATTTATGGAGTAGCAGCAGTGGCTAAACATATGTGATGAGGCAAGGTCAAGGCTAAGGCCTGATTCAGGCACTTAAGACACAGTGAACCATTTTTATGTTCAGAGGGTTTTGTTACTTATAGAGAAAGTGAAATAAAGAGTAGACAAAGAGACCAAATGATGAGGTCCCTATCTTACACACTCAAAATTCTGATACTAAAACGAGAGGGGCTAGATTACTGCATTATGTGTTGTGGGATATCTTCTTACTAAGAGACCATTCTAGGATGGAGTTAATTGGTTTTACAGTCTGCAGCTCTACCTTGCAGAAAGTCTCATCAGTACCTGGGAATGACTGTAGGTAATTGTCTTAGTTAGTTTTCTCATTGCTGAAATAAAATGCCTGACATCCAAAGTTAAGGAGAAAAGGTTTATTTGACTCACAGTTTGTAGAAGTTTCAGTCCATAATTGGCTGGCTCCAAGGCAGGGTGGCATAGCAGACAGGCCTTGTAGGGGAGAAATAGTTCATGGTGGGCAGAAGGCAGCAAAGCAAGCAAGAGACCTTAGTAGCTTTTTTTCTGCCCCTTTTACAGTCTATCTAGGCTACTGGGATTAGGGTGGTGACAAACCAATCAGTGGACTTGATCTTAATCCACACTTAATCTTAGCACCCTTAATTGTAGCATTGCACTATGAATCAATCACACACTCTAGATTCAGCCACCTCTGAAAAAGCCCACCTATAACTGCATGAGGCTTTGTGGGGACATCTAGACACAAGTCATAACAGTAATTGATCAGGTTTCCTCTAATACATACATGTCCCCCAAGTAGAAAAAATGACAAGCAGCTGCACATGTGGACCTTAGAGACTCTGATGAATGTGAGCATAGGAGGCATATGGAGTCTTCTAGATGTTAAAATGAGTAGAGTTCCAGGATTCCAAAGCTAACGACTAGTTCTCCCTACAAAATTTATTCATTTATTTATTTTTAGAGAAGGGACATGTTTTTTCTCCTATGAAGTCAGTATGCTGCCTGTTGCTTACAGGATGGTGTGCTGGCCTGGACTACACTATGAGTTTTTCAAGGCCAGCCTGAACTACAGAGTGAGACCTTGTCTCAAAAAACCAAAAAGAAAAAGAAAAAGAAAAGAAAAAAATAGCTTCTCCTACTTTGTGATTAGAAGCAAGAAAGAGTAAGAAAATTATTATAAAAATTTGGAGTTCAGAGAAATTGACAATATTCTTCATTCTACTATAGCAAACACTGTATATTTAAAAAACTATAGTTGTAAGCTGTGGTTATTAAACTATAGATTCATTGAATTATGAAAATAACACATGAAGTTTTCCCAGTGTTATGTATCATATCATGTAAGTCACTGAGCCAGTACACAAACCCAAACCTTTTGACTTCAAATGAGCACACTTTCTTCTACAGCACAAATTCATGGATTTTTAAGAGGAAATTGAATACATGATAAGATTGAGCTTATTTTATTATATAAACATTAATAACTCTGAATAATATTTCATTTGCAGTAAAATTATATGCTTTAACAAGCCAAGTCATCAATGGTGAGATGCAGTTCTATGCCAGACCAAAGCTTTTCACCAAGAAGTACCAGCCACAGAAGAAGGCATGATGAGAAATTTCATTGAACTGTCCCACCCAAATATCCAGGCCTAGAGGGAATTTCCAAAGAAATTTGTTGGAATGAGTTATCTAACTGTAGCTTGATGAGAGGGCAAAGTCCTTGTGAACATTGAGCTCACATAACTGTGTTGTCACTTAAGCCAGGCTAAAGCTTTGTGTCCCAGCTCAGGGTCTAGCCTGAAAGCCTGTTTAAATGTGCTCAGAAGAGCTGGATCTCATCAAACCCTTGGTTTATCCCACTCAGCATTTTACCCTTCTTGCACCAGCTAATCTTACACACTGCAGGGAAAAGTGAATTAGCAGTGCTGATATTACTATTTGAGGAGTAAGGACAAATCAGTTTTAGAATCTTGGAGGTAAACAGTTGACACCACATGATTAATGAGAAATCGAGACTTTTGGGATCTTGGATTCATTTATCTCCCATAATAAAAATTAGATGTACAATAGTAAGAAAATTCATGCTTATGTTCAGTTTAAAAATAAAGATGATAACATCCCTTTATATTCTTTTATACATAGTTCCGATTTTTCCCTTCAAAGGATGTAATTCCTTTATAATCTTGATTTTGTATGAACCTCTACTTCCTTATGTCCAGTTCATCTGGAGACAAATAGTAGAGAGTAGAGGCCAAAATCTTGGGCTCTAAAGTCATCATGGTTCTTTCACTTAATGTGTAAGAAACTTGACTTATTACTGAAATGCATGGAGCCTCAATTTTCTCACCTGTGACTAGGGCACAACCATAGAACTTGCCTTACAGAAGAATGTAAGATTAAATGAGATAAAACATGTGAAGTAGCTGCTTCGATGCATAAAATTAGCACCCAGGAAATCTAATTTATTGTTTCTACTATAAGTAATGAGATATCATATTATGTATTTTTTTGTTGTTGTTCTAGGAATTGAACCCAGGGCTTTCTGCACTGAACTATATCTGCAGTCCTTTTTGTTTTCTACTTTAGGACAGAGTCACTAAGTTGCCCAGGTGGGGCTTGAACTTGGATTCCTCCTGTCTCATTCTCCCAGAATGCTGGGATTATAGGTGTGTGCTGCGGATACATGGCCTATTCACTATATTTAAGGAACTTCATTTAATTGTTAGAATCGACTTAACCCACACAATAAAATTGCTGTTGGTTTTAGTGAAGATAAAACTCCTAATTTGTAAATAAGATTTGTCCTAATTCATTATAAAGTACTGTAAATTATGTAAAATTTGGAGCTCATTTTATTCTGATAAAAGAACAATAGATATATATTACCTTTGGAGTTAGGATGTCACTCTACTCAGAGGAATAGTACGAAAACTGGCCCTTGTGTTGACACAAGGTTTGCTTCATGGCTAGCTTCCTTGGAGCATCCAGTGCCTGAGTCTCAGGGCTGGCACTAATCAGGCTAAAATATTTACTGGGGCAAAGTGTCTGCCTGGACATCAGCTGCAGCCATAAAGCACTAGGAAGTCTGGGATGGTGGCCATGGATCTTTACCGGTTGGGATGACCTGGGGTGTTTTTAAACCAGTGCTGCCCATTTTATGAATGCTCATCCCAACATGGCCAGTCACTCTGCTAAGCAGCTTAGAAGCCTTGATTCATTTATTCTTCATAGCCCTTCTTTTTTTTTTCTTCAGATTTTACAGAATTTAAAAGGATATAGAAAGCATATTACAAAAATCTGTTTTGAAATAAATTTGACAACTTCTAAGAAGTACCTTGGAAGACAAATTAATGAAACTAACTCTGGAGGAAATATAAAATTTGAATAGCACCTATTAAAGAAAGTATATTCCTAGCTTGAAAACCTACCTATATGACAACAGGCTCACATACATTTTAACTGATAAATTATATCAAACATTTAAAGCAGAAAATAAAAGGAACACTTCTCCCCTCATTTTAGGAAATCAACATTGTGCTAATCCTAAAACTGGACAAAGATAATAGAAGAAAATGTATGAACATAGATAGAAATTTGTTTAACAAAGCAAACTATTAGAAGTCAGATCTGGAAGTATGTAGAAAGTGGTTTTATTATAGGGATGGCAGTGTTGGTTCAGCATTGGAAGATCCACCCCCAGAAGTCATCATTTTAACAGAGGAAAGGAAAAAGCCATATGGTCATTTGAGTAGTTGGAGAAAAAGTATCAGACTAAATTCTACAGCTGTTCATGGTAAAAGCTATCAGGAGACTAGAAATAGAACAGAACCTTCTTAACAGATTAAAGACATGTACTCCTTACTTCCAGCAAAAATGCCTTATATGAATGGAGAAGATACAATGCTTTCTCCCTAAGGTGGGGAACAAGGGCAGATATGCCTACTCTTCATCTGTCCATTAAACTTTGAAACATAGGCCTAAACCAAAACAGTCTGGCAATAAAATGACACAAATAGGATAGAATTGGCAAGGTAGAAGCAAAATCTTTATATGTAGATGAAGTGATCATCTACAGAGAAAATACTAGGAGCCCCTAGAACTTGTATTTGAATTTAGCAGGATTAGAAAACACAAGGTATATAAAAAAATTCTGGTCTATGTATACTTGCTAGAATTGAAGAATTGGATATTGAAATTTAAAAGTTATGTAGCAGTACAAAGGACCTAGAAAATTAAAAATAAAATGTTGGAAGATGTTTAGTACCTAATTTTAAGACTTCCTCTAAAGCTACAGTAATCAAGGCAGTGTTAGTGTAAGGAAAGACATATAGATCATTGGAATAAAACAGAGAATCTAGAAATAGAACCACTCATACATGGCCCACTGAGTTTTGAAAGATTATTTAACATTAACATTTCATAGAATATAAACTCAATTCAAGAGCTGAGGAAAAGATATTGTTTTCAGCAAATGGCACTAGAACACCTGGTATCCGTGTATAAAAAATTAACCTCAACCCTTTATTTCCATTCAAAAAAATAACTGGAAAGGATCTATGAACCTAAATATGAAAGATTAAAACTGTAAAACTTAAAGAAGAAATTTTAAGGGAAAATGTTTATGAATTTAGGGTAGGCAAGAACTTCCTAGGATACAAAAGACATGATGTATAAAAGAAAAAAATTGATAAATGTGATTCCATCAAAATTTGGAACTTCAAATGACATTGTTAAGAAAATGAAAAGTAGTCCTTAAACAGACCATATTTATAATGCATATAACCTATGACCAGAATATATAAAGAACTCTTACAGCTCATTAATAGACAACCCAATTAAAAAGTAGACACAAGAAGATGATAAATAGCCAGTACAGCACAAGGAAAGGTGTGCAACACTAGAATCAGAAAAATGTTCATAGCCATTCTTAAGGTAAGTACTATTATTAGCTCTGTTTTTATAGTCGTGGAAACTGGGGCTAAAAGAGGTTAAATAAGTTGTCAAGATTATGCACTGGTAAGAGACAGAATTGAGGCTTATGACCAGCCAGCTCTGTCTAACACCAAACTCTCTGCTCTCAACCACAACATATTTTTCCCATTTGTCTCATGAAGCAGAAAAATCCCTGCTTTTTTGACGGGGGGAGCATAGACCTCAACTCTCCTCCAGTCTGGCCCAAGCAATCTCTCCTGCTTGCCTCGTGGTGAGGCTGACTTTGATCCCAAAACATTTCAGAAGCTTAGTTAGTAATCCAGCCGTCTTGTCACTCCGTGTGGAATGTCAAACTGACCACAGGGAAGCTGGTCAGACAGAGCCTGGGAGCTCGGCCACGGACCTGGGAAAGGAAGTCTGTGCTTGCATATTTATGTTGGAAAAGTGGCAACTGTTCCTTTCAACAAATATAAGGAGTCCTTCTTAGCAGACAAGGCTCATTGTGCAGCTGTGATCTCTAATGAAGTACAAACATGGTCTTTTTAAAGGAATGATATTTTAGTACATTGACCTTAATGATCTGCTAAATTCATAGCCAGCTCAAGAAACAAGAAGTTAGGGAATATGAGAGTCTGATGTGATTTATTCTTATGTCAGCTGGGAAAGGGGAGATTGTTTAATTTAAAATTTTGCTTTCCTTTCAACACTTAGTGACATGGGACAGTGAGAAAATCATTTAATCTATTTGCAAATGTATTTACTTCAGGAAATATATAAATGGTACCAACACGATGTCAATTGCACAGTTGATAACTTTCTTTAGCTTTAGATTTCAAATGGGGGAAAGAAGCAATTCATAAAATTTAATCAGTGTCGATGGCATTTAGATTTTGACATTTCTAAGAGATTAGATATGAAAAATTCTGGATCTAACTTATTATATTTCATGATTTTTATACAGTAGAATCAAGCTTTTCCATTTTAGGTTTCAACTTCATTGGATGAGCTTAAAATAATGTTCTTCAAAACAAAATATATAGGTGGAATTAAAACTAAAATAAAACTATTAATATTGTACTATTTTCTATGCATCCATAAATATGAAGATAGTATAATACATGAAAACAAAATATTTTGTTTTGAAATCACACATTGTAGTTCTAGTCGCATCAACACAAGAGCATCAGATGTCAATACAATCACCTTCTGCAGCTGCGGTATCCAAGAGGCGAGCAAGACAGTCCCTGAGATCAGTCTTCAAATGCCCCTTCTCAGCGGAGCTGCTTGTGAATGAGATGGAACAGAACAGTGGTTCCAGGTCACAGGAGGCAGTACCAACCACATAGAAGGAAATGGAGTGAAGAGAACTGGGCAGTAGTGGGGAGAGGCTGGAGGCCACAGCATTCGAGAGAAAGGCACTTTTGGGGGGACTGTAAACAGTGCTTTCAGGAATAAATGTAGTCAAACATTATACACCTAAAATGGTGAAAAACACTACTTAGAAGATAAAAATCTTGAAGGACATTTTGACTCAAACATCTCACCTTCCCGGGCCTGCTTCTTTGGAAAAGCAGGGAGTGAAACACCAGTGATTTAAAAGGCATAGTGAAGAAGAAACAATGTGAATGTACTTTAGCCATTCCCCTTTATTCACAAATATTGATAAACTGATTTTTGTTCTTGGTGTAGATTTAAAATTAGAACTCTATTTTAATTTTTTGGAATTCTATTGTTTTGCCTTAGTTTCCTAATAAAAAGTTATAAAACCATAAGAAAAAAAAGGTGTAGGATTTTGCTGAGATTCACTAAGGGCTTCCTTGGAGAAGGATGGGAAGGCTTAGTGGGCAAGGCCTGGCCTCATTTTAACCAGATCAGCTTCATGTTTCTGCATTCCATAAAAACAGAAGAGTTCAGCCTTTACAATCTTAAAATCCTCTGGCATAGATCTCTTAGGTCTCATTGTTTTATTCCATGGTTCTACTTCTAAAACCACCTCCTATACTAATGAGAACAACATGGTCAATAGAGACTTTCAGAGCCAAGTAATTATATGACAAATTTACCATGAGAATCTCTTATCGAGGATACAAATTTTTAGTACAGCCACTTCTAGTAGCCTAAAATAATTTCTCTATACTTTCTCTTCTCTTATGAATTCATTTAGAAGATGCTGCTTTTATAGTACTATACTTACAACATAAACTTTAGCTTGGGTCCTTTTCTAAATTAGTTTAAACTATAATACTTGAATGAAGGAGGCAGTACAGTGTAAGTAGAAATGATCAAACATACAGCAATATATTATACTGCTGCTTCTTCATCCTATACTTCAGGCAGATATTACTAAACAATCAATCATAGATCCCTTTCCTTCTGAGTCTGAACGAATTCTTAGAATTCAGCATTAGATAGTACCAAGGGAATTGTTGTTGTCACTTGAGAAAACATTCCTAATGTAGAACTGGCATTGAATGAGACAGTTTAGAATTGCAATATTCGCAGTCTAAGTTTGGTCATTTCCAAAGTGGCAACAAGAATCATCATCTTGTGTTTTTTATTATGATAATTTCTATAGATGTAAAGAGGGGGCTTACTTGTGTTTACTTACTTGTGTTTGAAAAGGAGCTACAATTGCTTCATATTTTTTTTCATTGTACCTTCCTAGCATAAGGAGAGACCTTTGGGTGGATCAGAAAGGAGATTTTTTGATATTTCACTCTGCTCATACTTAACTTTGACCCTTAGCCAAGTTTTTTATCCTCAGATCCTGAGAAATCAAGAGTAGGCTTTCTCATTAAGATCTCGGTCAGTAACTTCAAGTATCTTGTTATTGTAATTTCTAGCATGAAACTTATTCAGCAGTCTTTCCAATTATGACCAAATAATTTAGGCTAGCTGAATCTTCATATTCAGAAAACTTTTTAAATTGTATAGAAGCATGTTGAGAGGATTTGCATTAGCTAATTTTTCACTACCCCTGCTTCCTCTCCAATATCTCACTTTCAATTTAATGCACAGACTCAAAATATTTTCTAGTAAACATAGTCGCTGGAACAAAAAGCAGAAAATTTTCAGCATTAAGGGAGACGAGGAGTCTACTGGAACTAACCTTTATTTATATGAGGATGCTCTATGCTATCATGAATAGACATGAGATTTATACTACTGGCCAGGGAATGGAACAATTAGAATCCTTAGTCCAGGTCCCAAAATGTACCATCCATGTAAGAGGAGGTAATTTAGAGCTCCAAACTCTAGTTAAAAAAATCATATAAAATTTAAATCATCCCAATATAACCTGAACTATTTCTATTTATAAAACTCAGGAAGTAATTTTAAAACAATTCAGTAATTCAGTAGTTAATTAAGTAATTCAGAACAACTCCCACTGCTTGGCATCCCTCCTTTTATTTTTACAAAGTAATGGACTTAACTCAAATTATCATCATCAAAATTCCATCTTCGTAGGGCTACCAGTGGCTCATTTATCTCATTTCTTGGAGACAATTGCCAAATGTTTAAATTTAAGATATTACCTTAAAATCTTAGTGGCCTTTAGAGGCTTATATTTGGATAAAATAAAGTAGAACTAGACATGCTTGGGTACTTTTGGGAAAAAGTAATTAAATGTTTTATATCTCAACCTTGGTAACAGGTACATGGTTATATATATTTGTTCAAACTCATTGAAGGCACATTTTATTGTGTAAAATTGACCCAAATAAAGTAAACTGAAAGAGGTCACTGGGATATCTGCAACTCAGAGTGAGGCTCTGTACCTAAGTGTCCCACAAGGTACCTTTCTGCAGGGCCCCGGGAGAGGGGGAACTGACTGTGCCCTGGACTGCGGCTCTGGGATAGGAAGGGTCAGCAAGCATGTCCTGCTGCCTGTTTTCGACAGAGTGGAGCTGGTTGATATGATGGAGTCTTTCCTGCTTGAAGCCCAGAACTACCTGCAGGGCAGAGTGGACAAGGAAGAAAGTTACCACTGCTACAGCCTGCAGGAATTCACACCCCTCTTCGGGAGATATAACATCATCTGGATTCAGTGGGTGTCAGGTCAGTCCTTCATGGTGGTGCTTGTGCCTTTGTCTGCTTCTCCACTGCAGGAGACAACACTGGGGTGAATGAAGATGTGGGGGGAGATTAGCTTAGTTGTGCATAGAGCACTTAGCTTGCCCTGGTTGTCATGTGAACTCCCAACAACTCTGGTCTCCAGGTTTCTGTCCTAATATTCTCTGTACAAGCTTGATAATCAAATTCCATCTGTAGCAATGAAGCAAGTGCCTTTGGACCAACCTAAATCCTTGAAGAAATGTACTTAAAAAATTTTAAACCTGAGTTCAAAGGTGTTAATCTCCATTTACTGGCAGAGCTAGATATTCTTAGATTTAAATTCATAGGAAAGAGCAGTGAATTTGATATGGGTGTGTGTGTGTGTGCATTTACCATGGAAGAATGATCATGGAGCTGGGTTGTCTAAAGGATATAGAGGGACTCATAGGAGGGACAGTTTCTCATGTCTATAGCAGACATGCATCCTTTTAACTAAATTTCCACAGACTCCTGCATCTAACACAATCCAGGCTATGAAATAATGTGTGACTGGGGGAGCAAATACCCAGTCTCATAACCAGTCTCCTGATTCTGAGTTCTGTATTCTTTCCTATTCACCTCTCTCCCTTCTCTTGTTTCAACCTGTTTCCCCCATTTGGCCCCCCATAGGGTACTTAACTGGTGAGGATCTGCCTGCATTTCTTTCCCAGTGACAAGGTAGCTGGAAAGAAAATGGTATCATCATACTGAAGGACAGTGTGGCACAGGAGGGGTGTCTTTGACCTCTCTGACAGCAGTGCGACTCAGGATATGGACATCCTCGGGACACCAGTTAGGAAGAATGGGCTGTTGGTGCTGGGCCAGGAAAAGCAGCAGGGCTTTCCAGAGCAGTACATTCCTGTGTGGATGTTCGTACTGCACTGTGTAGACTCTTCTGAGTAGCAGTGGAGTGGACAGCTGTACAGGGCAATGGTGCTTCAGGACAGGATGCTTCCTCCAAGGTGCCACTTGGAATGCAGGCAGGGATGGAGAGAAGGGAAGGGATACAGTGCATATTGGGAAATGATTGATGATGTGGTATGTACAGGTTTTTGGTGATGAGCTAATGCATACATTCTGACATGCACACAGTTGTGGGTGTACACTCTGTAATACTCTGGATTTTCTAAAAAGTGGAGAATAACATCAGGAAGAGTGCTTTAAGAAACTTTGTGGAATTGACAAGTGGGATTGCACATAATAAAAAGTTTTTGTACAGCAATGGAAACAAGCAACAGAGTGAAGAGACAATCTACCGAATGGGAGAAAATCTTGTTTAGCTATTCATCTGACAAAAGATAAACATAACTAAAAAATTTTAACACCCCCCACAAAAATACCCTAAGGAATCCCATTCAATAAATGGGCAAATGAACTGAACAGATGCTTCTCCAAAGAAGTAATGTATATGCGTGCAATATGTACATGAAAAAATGCTCAATATCTTTAGCCAGCAGGGAAATACAAATCAAAACTACATTAAGATTACATCTTAACCTAATCAGAACGACCATTATCAAGAAAACAAAAAATAACAAATGCTGGTGAGGATGCAGGGAATAAAGGAAACCCTTATACCCTGTTGGTTGGAATGTATTCTATACCACTCATATATACCTGAAATATCAAAGCCAACATACTATGGAGATACCTGCTACCTCTGTTTATTATGGCATTGTTTACTATTGTGAAGTTATGGAACAGCCTAGATGCCCATCAAGGAATCACTGGACAAAGAAAATCTGGTATATATACACAATAATAATAAAATGAAATCATGCCACTTTTAGGAGAATAGATGGAACTGAAGGACATCATATTTGGCAAAATAAGCTAAACTCAGAAAGACAAGAATTGTATGTTTTTTCTCATCTGCAGAATCTAGGAGAGAAAAGATGACATGAAAGGAGAATGGAGACTATTGAAGAAGGGGAATGGGACTGCGTAGAGGGGGAGGGGAATAGAACGGGTAATAGGGAGGGAGTATGACCAAAGTACATTATTGGTGTGTTGAAAATGTTGAAACCTAATATCTTCTTCAATTAATTCATGCTAATAATTACAATAAAGAAATGGATTCCTTATATACACCTGAACTGTATAAGTGTGCATGAAAGCAGGAAAAGAAAACACTTTCTAAATTGTCTTAATCATTGGTAATTTGTGCTATCCAGTAGTCCAGGATGGGTGGAAGAAAATCTAGACCATTTTCCTGCCCTTGTGTCAGTTTCATCAGTTTCCTCTCCCTTTGGTGCTGCTACTCCTCTTGAGGGAGCATCTTTTCCTAGTTAAGAATGCAGGAGTCAAATGAGCTTGTGAAAACAAACCTAGTAATTTTATCTTGAGCCTGTCTCTTGGCAGAAGAAGTGGATGGTTTCACTTTCTATTTTGGGTCCTTGTTATTACCCAATGATGTAATATGGATGTAATTTGATAACAGTAGCCTGCGTCACAGCGATGGGAAGTATCCCCTTCCAGGAGAAAAATTCTGTACCCTGAGGTTGCAGCCTTGAACTTCTAAGCAAATGCCATCAATAATCTAATTTTAGTCACTGACTTCAGCACTGCCCACACTGCAGCTGCTCCTGGATCCTTGATTGAATGCATGTATAGTGGGCTCTCAAGTTACAACCTGCCTGACATACGAACAACTTGGTTTAATTAGATTAATGGAAGATTCATCTGCCTCTTGATATCTACAGCACCAATCCAGGTAAACATTCAGATCTCAGCTGTATTGATTTACAACCAACTTGAGTTGCAGCCACCCCTGAGGCACTGAGTTCATAAATCAAGGGTCTACTGTATATGTATTAGAAAGAAATTCACCAAGAGAAATGGGCAAGGAAATGATGAACTGAAAATTGAACCAGCTGGATTAATACTAGGCATTGGTTTAATTAAAATAATCTAAAGTATTATTCTGACATAAAAGAGGTTGAACTTCATTCATTTGTAGGAAAACAGATGCATCTTGAGACCATAATGTTAAGTGAGCTCAAATGGACCTATAAGTTTAAGTGCATAACGCCCATCATGTGAAAGATAACCTGCTTTGCATTATGGACACATTTTGGCCCCATCTTTGTTACTTTTTTTGTCTCTATCATTTCCTATAACTGGCCTTCTTTGAGTAATGTACTGGAGACAAGACCTGTGTCAGATATATTCAGCTGCCTGTCACAATTAAAACCAGTTGTCTTATTGTTTTCCTTACTTCCAGCTGATTATTTGATGCTTTGGTGTTCATGCCAAAAAAACTACCTCATATAATCATCAGAGGCCAGTGTTTTTGCAGAGTTCCCTGCAAGATAATTAAGCAAAATATGTGAAAAATAGCTTTAAATTATCTAAATTAGTAGAGTGTGTCTATGTGACAGATAAGTAAAAATAATTAAGAAATCAAAGGTCTAAGAGAGTGGTATATGCAAAGAGTTAGTATAGAGAAAAGAACTTCTGTTACTCCACCCTAAACCTTCACCGACATCTGAAGTCAAGTCCTTTTGCATGTGCAGGAGGGATCAGTTTGCTTTGCAGACAAAATCATTTTCTTTTTATTAGCTAGCTCCAGTGTTTCCTTATGACCCGAAAGGTTGCTGCCTCTCCAGGGGCAGTCCTGGGGCATTCTTGGCAAGAACAGAGGCCAGAAAGACTGGAAATTTTATTTTACAACATTTTCTGCCTGGTTTTTAGAGTCAGAGAAGATAAATGGTTCTGAAAAATTCAACAATACCTTTGAATTCAAATTGCCTCATTGTCCTGAGATGACCCAGAGAGGTTAAAATCAAACCAAACCAAAACAAAAACTGAAACCAACTTACCACAAACATCTTTTTGCAACAAGCGTGTTTGACTCAGGAGAAGGTAATTTCCCTGTCGTCGTTGTCATCATCATCATCATCATCATCATCATCATCATCATCATCATCATCATCATCAAGAAAAGAAGACTTTCCTCACTTGGAAAAGACTTTCCTCACTTGGTTTGCTCATTGAATTCAGGGGCTGGAGTTAGATGGGGATGGGTGGGTGAGTGCCAGGGGATTGATAATCTTTACATATATTTTCAGTTCAATCTTTTGTTTTAATATCAGTAGGCTGACTTTTATTTTCTCATTATGGCTCAGTTGTTCACCTCTAATAAGCAAGCTGATTCTTTTTCCTCTCATTGTATATCCTCTAGTTCTAGAAATCTCCTCCAGCAGGGGTGTTTGAAGTTTCCAGCCCACAGTGATCTCCCCATCTTTTAACCATGCAGGAAGACTTTCCAAGGCCCAAGTATTCTCAAGGCTAAAACTGGGGCTTCTTTTTCCTATTCTTCCACCTCTCCAAGTGCATTCAATAAACTCTTCCCAGAAACTTTACTGATCTACAAGGTCAGCCCTTAATTCCCTATTCAGAAGCCCAAATTCTTAAATTTTAAGACTATGTACTTGGTTCAACCACAGCTTGACCAGTGGTTCTTCTGTCAGCTTCCTCTGCCTTTCAAATGTCCTCTAACCCACAAGTGTCTTTTCCTTTTACCATTCTCTCCTTAACACCAAACCCACTCTGTTCCTGTTGTGTAGCCTCCAGCCCTCTTAGTGCCAATTCAGTCTCCTTGTTGAATAATCCTGTCAGTGGACCCTGGCTCATTATGTGATGAGTGTAACCCCAAGTTTCCATACGGCCTGGGGATGTTGTTGGAATTACATTCCCTGTCTACAGGAGGCAAAATGGAACACACGCTCACCGTGAAAATGGGTATGTTTTATGTTGGTTCCCAAGCCAGACTTTGAAAGAAAATGAGCAAGGTGTCCTGCAGGATCTTTTCTATCAGTCTGCCCCTTTCTCAAATGAGACTTCCTTATAATATTTCTCAATCAGATAACATAAAGTACCGCTTCCTGGAGCTTGTTTTTATGTCTTTAGACCAAATGGGTGATATGAAGTGGGGACTGTAATAAAACCTCAAGAGAGTATTTGATAATCCTTTGTGTATTCTGAAGTTTGAAGGAAATTGAGATAAAAATGGGGGAATAAGTGGAGATGATTTATTGAGGAGCTATTTTGGGGCCAGATACTAGTTGTTTTATGCATATGTACTTATTTAAATGAGGTAAGAGATTTTCAAATCATTTATCACTGGACCAAGCTTTCCAGAGTTTATTTCCTTGATTGTGCTATTTATAGAGTACAAACTTAAGCTGAAAAAAAATTAGCTCAAATTACTCCTCTTTTCTTTGGGTAAGAATCTTTATGTCTTAGAGTAGAAACATTCATTTCTTATCAGAAAAAAATAGGAATGATAATGCCTACTTAATAAGGCTGATGTTACAGGTAAATGAAATATAATCAAAGTATGAAATACAGTGACAATTCTGTAATAAATTTTCAGCAAGAGAGATCAGTGGTTACAACTTGTATTTTGATATGTTTTTGGCAAAAGAGGAGAAGCCAAAAGTCAAACTTGTTGCTATCAAACTTATTTCCTGACGGTTTTGCAGATAAAATGTGAGGTCATGATTCATGAAGATTCTGAGCATCTCAGAGGGAAGGACTGGTGGGTGATCACAGAGCCAATGAAGAAAGTGGAAAAGAAAGTCAGTAAACACACACACACACACACACACACACACACACACACACACCCCTTAACCCTTAGGATAGGACCCTTAACAGTAAACCAAGGTTCACTTACTGAGCTCCCTTAACAAGTGAGCAGCTGGTGAGCACCTGACAGAGGGAAACACAAATACACATACATCTTCAAGGGATCTCTTAAGTTCCCTGGAATTCAGGAAGAATAGAAGAATGTCTTTAAAAATGGGAAGAAATGAAAAAGCTGGAGAAATGCTCAGTGGTTTGTTAAAACCTGCAGCATAAAGACTTAGGTCTGCATTTAGACCTCTGAGCTAAGACTC